TTTCGCACGGGCGTCGTACACGCCTTGGGTCTGCATCTTGTGGCGTTCGAACATTTAAAAAAAAAAAAAAAAAAATTTTGCACTGGACGCCCAACTTGGGCGTGCACTGCATGAATGGGCGCCCAAGTTGGGCTTTTACGCGTTTTGGGGGGGTTTTTGGATTTTTTTGGGAAGTTTTGGGGTTTTAGTGAAATAAAGTATTTTTTTGGGGGGGTTTGTTAGAAACCGCAAATAGCAATTTTCAAACTGCAAAAAGCAATTCCCTAAATCAATTACTCGAAGACACTGTCGGAAATATTATGGGTTATTTTCAATTTTTAAAAACTTAGAAACATGTTTGAAATTTTGAATAACGAATTTTCAAATACTTTTGTTGTATTCATAATTATTTATATAATTTAATGACCAATTGCAAATTAGTAGTTGATAATAATATTTATTTGAATATATTTGTATGAAAATATATAACATAATTTATATATAAATAAAATATTATATATGTTTATATAGTATATTTATATTTAGGCTGCGGCTATATACAATACTCATTCCACTTGTGCAAGACCAAATTAAAAAAAGATTCCAAAAGATTCTATTTTATTAAGATGGAATGACAAGTATGCCCATAAATTAAATTGGTTTTTTTTTCTCATGTAAGACCAAATACAAGTAATGAGAAAAAAACAAAAATCGACACCAAGGTGTCGAAAAACTATGCTACAAATCGACACTTAAGCGTCGAATTTCATAGGTAAAAATCGACATTGACATGTCGAATTTATAGCACAAATTCAAATGTTGAATTTTATACCTCAAAATCGACATCTGAATGTCGAATTTTATGCCTCAAAATCGACATCTGAATGTCGATTTTTACCTGTAAAATTCGACCTGTACATGTCGAATTCGTTTGCGCGGGTTTTTTTTTGGAAAATCGATATTCTATCTAAAAAGCCCATAAATGCATACATTCTTGGGTTCTTCCATCATAGAATCTTCTATTTTGATGTCTTCTGACTCCATACTTGCCATCTTTGTAAGATTTGTTGAGTTTTGATGATTTTGAATTTCTAGGTTTTGTGGGTTAATGGAGGAGGAAGGAGAAAAGTCTTGTGGGTTTTGGAAGATGGAGAAGATGAGAGTTGGTCTTGTGATAGGGTTTTTTGTGTTTTTGAATTTTTGGTCTTGCATATTTGGAATTTTTTATTTTTTTAATAAATAAGGGTATTATAGTATTTATACATTGAAAATTTTAATTTGGTCTTGCAGAAGTGGAATTAGTCTTGGATATAGCCGCAGCCTTATATTTATTTCTCAAGTTCTCGTATCCCATTTCCGGGACATCTCATTTCCTCGTGCCCGTTTCCTCATATCTCTATTTCCGTGTCCGTGCTGCACTGTATATTTGTATATAAATAACCCGAGTTTCTTGATAATATATTTTTCACACATTACAACATTCAAACTCTTCATGCATTATAAAGTTAGATAACTCAAGTTCAAATTTTATATATTTTTTATAATTACATTTATTTTTGTCATACCTTTTTCATGAGAAAAATAAATGTGAATAATAAAATATTTAATGACTTTATGTCCTTTAACAAACCCATTCCTCTTTATTCTTAACCTTTTGTATGGCTCACATGTTATCCAAGACTTGCACCATGATGTAATGCTATATTTAGATTGGCTTCAAAACTCCTTCCATCCATAAATGAATATTTTTTTAATTATTTTATAGTCAACTCGGCTATTTTGTTGATAAATTTTAATAGGTATACTCAACGTACTTAAATGTTACGATTATGGTGGAAATTGGAACAAACTTTCCGATTTCCGACGATTTTGTTCCAATTTTGTCGATTTTGGAACAATATTTTTCAATCCGAATTCTGAAGTTTCGACTTCCAGTTTTTTTTTTTTAAATTATTTGGATCGAAATTGGAATATATGTGAGATTTTGATTTCCTATCCGATTTAAGTTGTGAAAATGATTCTGAAATTTTGAGTTTTTTCCGAATATCACACTTAAAATTCCAATTTTATTATGTATTTTATATTTTAGGTGACAAAAATTTGGAAATTTCTGGATTTCGTCGATTCCGCGATCCGAAATTTTCCGATTTTGTAACAAGTTTTTATATTTCAATTTTCGGAGTTCTGATTTTCAATGTTGTGGGAACGAAATTGGGATAGTTTTCTACTCGAAAAAAATGGATTTTTTTCGAAAATACTAATTTTCGATTCGATCCGTCCGATTTACAAACCTAGTTAAGATTGATGGAAATTCATGGTTAGTTTTTCTCCTCAATAAATGTGGATAACCAACCATGCCCAAAATTATCAAAAAAAAAAAAAAAAAAAAAAAAAACCAACCATGCCCAAACAATATATAAGTCAATGTTTTCTAGAAACTAAATTAAAACTAAGGTAAGCACAAATCTAGGGTCAATCAGTCAATCAACATTATTATGTATTTGAACTTATTTCGAATAAAATTATGACACTCCATCACTAATAGAAAATACAACTATTTTTGCTATCATTAATAATTTAATATGATCCATATGAAATAAATTTTATTATTATTTTAATATTTTTTGCTTTTCCGTCATTTTTTGGGCTATTAATTTTTTTCTTAGAATGTACAACGTGATAAAGCACACAAAACACAAGTGGACCCTACATGCAGCCCAATATATTAGGTGGGCCCCACCAAAAAAGAAGGCCCAAGATTGAAGATGATTCGGCTTTCCTAACTCTTAAGCTATGGCCCACCACCCACTTGCTTACGTGTCCAAATCAATGATTCATATATTTTCTGCCCTCTTATAATTGGATATTGAGACATGTGTACCAAAATATTGACATTTTATTTAAAGAATAAAATATTTATAGTATTTAAACAAAATTTACATTATAAAAGTATGAGTATACAAATTTACAAAATTATATATATATTTGTTCGATTCATACCAAGAAACCGCGTGTATAAACATGTCGTATTTCACAAACATTTACAAGTACAATAGAGAATCGATAAATTTATAATATTATTAAGATAATCTTTTTTGTGATCCTGGCTCAGGGATAATTGTGTCAAAACATATTTTATTAAATTAATTGACTATATTAATTTATAGAAATTTAATTGTATATATGTATGCAATGTGAAAAAATTGCCATTTATTTATTTTTCCAAATTAGGTAATTATAGAAAAGACTGAAAAAAATTAATTTGGTGGAAGGGCAAAAATGTCAATTCTCAGGTCATGATAGTGACTTTTGATATATTGTGGCTGTGAGTAGACATTTGACCCCACCCACCATTAGTGGTTACTTGCCCCAATGATGATTCTTCTTTCAGTTTTGGTTCAAAACCACTAACACCGACCCCTCAACTTTTAATTAATTATCTTTTAACCCCATGTTACACCTATGTATTTCATAATTATAGGGCTCCTAATATAAAATATACATTCAATCCTTTTATGTAGTTAGGAAACATTGTTTCATGTGAAGATGTATTAAAACACGTCTGATGATGTAACTCGAATACCTATACGACTGAAAAGAGAATGCTAACGTGATGCACGAAGATAATTTATGAAACGAAAATATGTTTTAAATAAAACAATTGAACGAAAATTTTGAAGAGTTGATATCAGAATACGATATACAATGTGTCTAATTGCATAGAACATATACAACTCGTATGCGAAGACTTCAGAATAAATGATTCAATTATCATTTTTTTGATGAAATTGATTTCATTTTGAGTCTAATCTCTAACTTTTGTCATTTTATTTGTCGTTGTGGATTAGTGCATGTGTATTAAGAAAACTAATAACGAACGTAGATTGAAAAAAAATGTACACTGTAACTTGCCAACTGGTATTATAACATTATTATAATCTTTGAACTAACCTATTTAGGTTTAGATTGTCCCTAATTAGCTATGCCTACTTATTAGAACGTTGCGAATCTTCAACTAAAACCTAGTTTACTTTATTTTTAAATGATTTTCTTTTACATTTTTTTTACAATTCTAAGAAGTTAGGCACCAATAAAATTGAAATGAAATTTAGTATTTTACATTTTGATATCAAATTGATAGTAAATTGCAACTAAATGACCTAAGAAACTTCTAAATTAGTTACTCTCTCAGTTCGACAATAACTGTTACTAAAGATATATTTGTTTTATATTATCTATCACTTTAGAATTCAAATATTGTATTAAATGTGATTTTTTTCCTCTTGAACCCATATTTATTCAACTCTAATATTACTTATCCTTATTACATCATTAAACGACCGTCAAGGTTATTTTAGTCTTTTTACTTTATTTTTTTCCCATAATTAAGAATAATTATTGAAATTCTTAATACTCGTGCAAAGCTGAGAAACGTCTATTATTTAGGAACGGATTGAATGAAAAACTAGAAAAATTTGCTTGATTCCTCACAACTTCGCACTGTAAATGTTCCTAGGGGTCAACTTTTACGGCTTATGTGATTTTAAATAGTAGATCTACGTAAATAATCACCCACCAAGTAGACATATATATGGATGTATGTGTTATTATATATAAATTAATGGTATAAAACTACATGGTACTGTATTTCACCAAGATTAAGCTCTACGAAACCAAACTTTTACCCCATTTTATTTAATGTTATTTAAATTTGATTTATTTAACTATTAAATGTGATTAAAAGAAACCTTAACCAATTTCATGAGATCCACCATCACTACCTGTATTTAATTTATATCTAGTTTATAATAATCTTTTTTCATATGGATAATTGAAAATGGGATAAATTACAATTTCACATGGTAAGTTGGAATTAACAAAAAAGAGTTAAAAGAATCAAATATTATTGAATTGGGGTTTGGAGAGAGAGCCGCTGGCAAAGGTTGACCACACAGTCAACTCGAATATTAGTCAACAATAACAAATAATTAATTACTTATTTAATGTGATGAATCCAAGGGCCAGTCATTATTTAGACGTGTGGAAAAGGACTTTGATTTTTTCTGGTTCACTAATCACTCCTAACAAGATGTGGGTCCTCGATTTAATTTAATTAAAAAAAAAATAGTATGATTTTTTTTTATATTATTTTTTAAAATTTTACAATAAGATTCCATTTTTTTTTTAAATATAATACAGATAATTTTTGAATGAGTAATGGACGAATAGTAAATATTTAATTATTCTAATTATATTTCGAATGTACCAAACTCTGATGTAGACTTTGTTTTGACTCACCAATTCAAATGTTATGCAATATTACATGTGACTAATAAAAAGTATCTATTCTAACTTGTTACAGATTTCAAGCCATAGTTTGCGATTATTCATTGGTCGATTTTACTCGACAATCGTCCATTTTGACCCATAAATTCCCGATAAATAATTACTCTTCAATCAACCCGTTAAATCACTTGATAACATTAAAAACTAAAATTATTTGATTTTTTTTCTTCTTTTTTAATAAATAAAAAAAATAAAAGGAAGAAACTACTAAAGCACATAACAAAAATATATTTATGTAATCATTAATTAAAATTTTGTAATTTTTAATACTGATTAATAATAATAATAATAAAGCAAACGAGGCCCAATATATCTTAGTAAAGACTCATAACTTTACAAGAAAATTGCCACAATTGCTTGAAAAGTAAATGGGCCACCCATAAAAGTGACATGCTGCCAAATTTATATATTTGGCCCAATTTTGGGAAAATGTTTTTTGGAAAAAAAAAAAAATTTAAAACGAAAACCCCTCATTTTTATGTAATTACAATCAACTCCCTCAACTATGTATTGTCTTACACGTCCACACTTACAGTATCAAATTTACCTCTCGAAGGAGCGGTTCTTACGTAAAACAATATATAGTTCAGGAGGCTGATTGTAATTATTCAAACTGGAGGATTTTTTTGTAATTTAGACGTACGTCTGGGGTGGCCGTAATATGCCGTAAAATAAGTACGAAAAACTTTCCAAAGGAAGGATATTGTAGAGCATAGAAGATGGACCAAGTGATGTGTGATTGACATTAATGGGAACAAGAACCACAAGAAAACACACTGCGTGCACCTTATCTTGACAGAATTCCATGACAACTTTCAATAACAACAAAACCATAAATTTGAATTAATTACATATTATATTCCCCATTATTTATTTCAAAACATGATTTTTGCCACTTTATATAATTCAATTTCTTGTTGGGTAACAAGTCCTGCGTGATTTTTACCCACCTTGTCTTTTATATTATTTCAAAAAAATATTTTCGGAGTTGTGTTTGAGCTCGATTTCAAATATGTTGTATTCGTGTGCATGTTTTATAAAGATAGAACCGAGCTTCATAAGTTATCGAATGAAAATGTGTACCCCATTAGTTTGTAATATCAATAAATCAAACTCAAACGAGCGAAATATCGAATAGAGTATGGAATAGTTTAATTTTATTTTCAGTTCTAGCTACTATATTAAAAGTGCCAATGTAAAGCGAGTGGGGTCCGGTACTATAATCATTGACAACAGTCGCTAGCTCGAACTTGTCACACATGGTTAGTGTAGTGTAATTTACATATCTCGTATAATTTGCAAGTTATTATCATACGGGAATGTACGTTTACACAGTGCACCTATATGGTTAACTACTGTTTTTTTATTGGCGAAAAAGAAAAAGGGCAAAAACCAAAAGAATTCAAACATGTTTACAAAGTATAATTCATTAGAAGAAAAACATATATTTACTCCCCACCAAGGACTTAAACAAATCAATGGTGAGTTTTGAGTTGTTCATTCTTAATTGTCAATAATAACTCAAAATTGCATGATAAAAAATTTGATGAAGCAAGAAAACAAATATGGCTTCACTAACAATCTAAGTTCATTACAAAGAAAGAACCACCCCCACCCCCCCACCCCCCACCCCCTAATCAAATTCCATAGAGACTAACATGAAATGCTAAACTCTAATCTAAAACTATTCTAAAACAAATTAAATAAATCAAAAAAAAAAAAAAAAAAACTGCGAAAACTGTATGTAAACTAAACTACTTCACTACTATTGTTACCCAAAATATCCACAACTCACATTCACTTCAATTCCGTCACCGGGCACCACGACCGCCTGCTTCTGCCGCCTCATCTCCACCACCTTCCGATGCGAATTGGAGTGCAGATTGCTCGAGAAGGTCGGGCTGTTCGCCGGGCGATACTCCGGCAGGAGCCGCCCCGACTTGTACCGTACCCCACACGCGTTGCACAGTGTTTTCGGCCCCATGGGCCCCGCCCGCCACTGTGGCGTCTTGTCCGCCTGGCAATGCCAGCACCTTCTCCCCATGCCGCCGCCGCCGCCAGTGGTACCACCACCACTATCGGCCGTTGCCGCCGCCGCCAACGGCAAAGGCGGCAACGAGAGCTGCGATTCTTGTTTTTTGTTCTTGACAACAATGTTGACTTGGTTCATCCAAACGCATTGCTGCTGACTTGGCAGGTCGGTGAATCCGGTTCTTCGTCTTCTTCTCCTCTTGCTCCGGGCCCGCACCGGGTACTTGGTCGGAACTTTGATGCTGTTGCAGCAGCTTGCAATGGAACCGCCACTGCTGCCGCCATTGCTTCCGGCACTGATGCTGCTGTTGTTGTTTTCGAGCACAGAAACCGGGCTTTGGTGGTTTAATATAAGACCGGGATTGTCGGATAAAATTCCGAAACACGTCTCCACCGCCGGAAAAGCGTCCTTGTTCGATAGCCACTCCAGTTCCTCCTCCACAATTTCCTGAGAAAAAGGAAAAAAAGAAAAAAAAAAAAAAGATTACAACTTTAACCACAACCCAAACGGAGTTAACTCATTCATGACTCGGTTGTAACTCGGATCAATATTTTCAAAAGTAGTTTATTTTATTTTATTTTATTTTTTTTAAATTTAAATAAATGAATGATACTAATGTTAATGGGATGTTATGAGGTGGCATATTCTCTAAAGTGGGGTTTATTGGATTTGGACCCTAGGAGAGAGAATAATGTTTCATAGGGACAAATATGTCTTTACAAATATGGAAATAATGCAAATATTTAATTTTTTTGCTTTTAATATCACAAACGTCTGAAAAGGACTCTTTAGCCAATTTGAATTAAATTTTACAGCTCATTTCCCGTTGTGAGGAATAATGCTTTGCATTCTTTAATAAGAAGCGTCACGCGCATATTTTGGAAATTCCGAAACTACCCTCAAATTAATGAATTCCGAAAATACCCCTAACATGTCACAACTGGTCTAGGGTTTTTAGGGGCAAATTCGTCCATGCATGCAAAAAGCTGTGAATTCACATATTTGTCAAAATTCATTCATAATATCCGGCGAAGAGTATCTATCATGTGAACATGCCGGCAACTGACTCGAGCTTCACCAACTCCGAGTCGACTCGGTAAAACTCGGTCCCGAAGTTTCCGAGTCAAAACGGTTCAATTAACACAGTTCGTAAATACACCCCACTCGTCCGAGTCACAGCCGGACTCGGTCAAATTATCTTTTACAGACACACAAGAGGTCACAGTCACACACATAACAGGGTGAAACTTACAGGAAATGAACCGGTATGAGCCGCACGGCAAAGCGCCGTCGCCGCCGCCGGTTCCTCTTCTCCTTCGAGGCAAAAGTTGAGAAGGTCGTCGTCTACAACGAAACCGGCCTCTGTCACCAAACTCTCCATTTTTTTTCTCTTCCGAATGTTCTGGTTTGGTTTGAGATAGAGAGAGAAAGTTAGAGAAACGTTAGGTTCAGAAGAGAGAGAAAAACTCTCTTTTTTATTTTTTTTCTTATTGGGAGAATGATATAATTATCGAAATGTGTTGATTGAATTCAACGAGGCAAAATCTTTTTGTTTTCCTTTTTCTTCTTTAACGTTAATACGTGTACCGGAGGAGTTATATCCTGCTCACGCGGTGCAGGGTATTGCTGTGTGCCCACACTATCTCATCTATATTTATTTCACTAATTTAATATTTGATGGACCATCAATTATTTAAAAAAATTATTCTTTTTTTCAAAATAAAAATTCAAAATTGGGGAATGCAAGTGGAGGTTGAGATTATTTTGTTAATTTAGTCAAATATATAAGATGGAATGTTAGGGGTGAGGACAAAAAGAATATCATGGTATTTAAGTGGTATTTAAGACTCGATCGTTACTGTAGATTTTGTGTCGTACGTTATATATCGTTGTATTTTTTTGTATTATTGTTATTAATTTGATTCGATTGTTGAATTACGGTGCTATACGGATTTTCTGGAACCTTTCCAACTACTTTTTTTTTCAATCGTAATCGTGATTTTTTGAAGCTTTCACTATGCTACGATTAATCGAAAAGTTAAAATGCATTTTTTTTTTAAATCTAAATGAACCAATTCACGATGCGATATTGAATGCCTCTTTCAATCTTTACTTCTTCCATGAAATTTTAGTTTTCCAATGTGAAGGTCATAATATTAATTATTTTGTTGAATTATACAAAGTACATTTTTGTCACACACAAAATGACAAGCATATGCATATAATTAAAAAAAAAAAAAGTTATATTATGATTTTATAATTTAATTGAGTAACGAGTCAATTTTGATATCTTGATGATAAGTGAGGGTACACCAGAGTAACTGTGGGGGTGACTCTACTTCATCATTTCCCATTGAGGGCAAATTCGTCAGATCAGATGAGTTTCCAAAGGCATTAATATGCACGGGCGGCGCAAGCAACACGTTGTCCAACCAATAAGAAGATGCCACATGGCAGTCAATTCTTTTTATGAAAACCAAATGGTTGACTCTCCAACACTACATGAGGTAGTGAAGATTTGACAAAATCCTTGCAATACATAGTATTAAAAAAAAAAAAAAAGTTTTATTATTGAAATGAGATATTAATTAATGTAATACATTAAAAATCGATATAATATTGAGTAGGATGTCATACTAACACCTAAAAATTACTAGCATAAGGCCATATACTATAAAATTAGGTGATGGGTCCTAGTAAACTAGGTCAATTATTTAGTATTCGTTGGTCATTTTGAAATATGCACAATTATTTGAGATGAATATTTAAAGTTAAATATATAATTAATTGATTTGAACTCACTACTTACTTTAATCTAATTAGGAGTCCATAGTGCGACCCGGTCTCACCGTTTGTATCGTGCGACTATGTCTCGAAACTAGTATTATTCGACCTCATGTTGTAGTTTGCATCCTCGACACAATCGGCCCCTAACCTGAGAGGACCCGTGCTACTCCCTCGCGTACGAACAACTAGTTGAGGTCTCGCCTTGTCCTCAACCATACACCCACGTTGAACGGTGCTCGTACCACACCGTGGGCCCCACGACTAAAGGACCCCTCCCTAACACATCTCATGGACCCCCTATCACGACTCGTGGACCATCTACCACGACTTGTGGACACTCCCTACCACGACTTGTGGATGCTTCATGGACCGTTCCCCCATCCCCCCCATCACGACTCCCTCTATCCGAAGGAGAAGATCGTGGACTAGCTACTACTGCCGGTCGGTCTGAATAAATTCGCACAAATAGGGCCTGATGATAGACCCTAGTAAAATAGGCCCAACTATTTAGTATTTGTGGACCATTTTGAGATAGGTCAAATTATTTGATATGTATATTTAAAGCCTAATATACAATTAATGTCCTTGAATCCTATGATGCACAAATACGGAAACGCGGACACAGCGATATGCAGACACGGATACGGCGATACGACATTTTAAAAAAAACTATGATACGGGTAAGCAGGGGATACGTGTAAATATTTAAAATATTGGGGCATATTTATAAATTATAAAAATACAGGGGTATATTTATAAATTGTAAAAATACTTATATATAAATAATCTTTTTAGAAATTTTAATCTTTTGTATATTTCAATTTAAAATTGTAATGTTTTCAATATTTTATAAAAAGTGGCGCCCGTTAGTGTAAGAAATGAGAGTCACTATGAAGTCTCATTCAGAAAGTTCTTTGAAGAAGTTTCAAAGTTACAATATGTGTGTCCTCTATTTTTCAAAATTACAGATACGCCCCGATACGCGAGTCCTATTTAGATGAATTTACGGACACGGTCCGATACGGGTGTACGAGGAGTATCCACGAGTATCCGAGTGTCCGAAACGCGGATACCTCATGTCCTAGAAGTGTCCGTGCTTCATAGCTTGAATCCATTACTTACTTAACCTAATTAGGAGTTGTAATCCTAATCAAACTCTTTAATCTATCCCTATAAATACCTTAAAAGCTCATTATTCAGATAAGTAACAATTTATCTTTTGAGATATCTCTAACTTTAATTTTTGCTCTCAACAATTTTTAAATTAAGCGTCAGAGGTTTTCACGGGGACACCCGACGCCTCTCATGATCTTCGTGAGGGCATGTTCTCGCATCACATTGGAGAGATCCCATAAAAGGAGCTCGCACCAACAATCGTTCTCCACTCGAAGTGCTCGCCTCTACAATATTCTCCTTGGTTGCTCAACCATTCTTTTACGCCACGTAAATTGAACTCCTCATATGCATTATTAGCTCCAACTCCAAACCGTTACTTTTCAGCTCGAGCTACCCTTCAAGTGGGGTCATTAATTCCAACTACCCTTGAAGTGATATCGCATTACTTCGAACTACCATTAAAGTGAGACCACGTCATTAGGGTATGTTTGTCTAAGGTTGTTGTTTTAATCAGTAAATGTGAACTTCCAATTGATGAGTTGATTTAGTATATAAATGTAAAATGTTTTGTATAACATTGAATAAGATTATTTAACTATCAATAACTTATATTGCAAATCAAACGAGTACTTGTATTGCAAAAAAATAGTATTGAAATCCACTATGCATGCTCTTAAAAAAAAAAAAATGGAAATCCACCATGCATGTTTCCAACGCTCCAACCAATCTCCAAAAGAAGCACGTGCTGCTCACTTGCAAAAGAAAGGAAAAATAGTTGTGCTTTTATATATAGCTTTAAATTAAATTTAAATAAAGTAAATTATGAAAACATTTAAAAAAGGAATAAATATGTAACGTGATTGATCCATCATCAATTATTGACTCATCGACACATGTAGGAGCGAGCGATGTGGGTTGTGACCAATCAATTTCGACCATTTTTTTTTTTTTAAATTCAATATTATTACAATTATAATTATTATTTAAAATGGGAGTAAACTGCAAAAACTACCCCTGTGTAATCTCGAAATAGCAAAAACCCCCCTGTGATAAATAAACTAGCAAAAACCTCCCCTGTGAAATTATTTAAATAGCAAAAACCCCCCTATGGAACTATTTGAGGGTTGACTTGATATAAAAAGACACAAATACCCCTGGAGTTTTGCAATTAATAAATTCTTATATTTTATAATATTTTAATTATTTTATTTAAAAAATAATCAATTTAGTTGTTTACTATTTTTTTTTAATTTCTAAACAAACAAATTAAAAAGAATAAATATACATTTAATATATATATATATATATATATATATATATATATATATATATATATATATAAATACATTTTGAGGGACAATTTTGTCATTTCAAGTCTAAAAAATCAGCTAGGGGGGATTCTGCCTTTGACTAAATTTCACAGGGGGGTTTTTGCTAGTTTATTTATCACAGGGGGGTTTTTGCTATTTCAAGATAACACAGGGGTAGTATTTGCAGTTTACTCTTTAAAATGGAGGGAAAATATTATTTAGGTCAAATCAGCATAATAATGTAGATGAGTGATGAGAACATGTGTCCCACTTTCTTGATTTTGTTGGAACAATATATATATTAAACATTGATTTGAACAATATCACCTTCGATCTTTTCTCATTTTTTGTCCCCATACTCTACACTATAATTGTTTCCATGCATATCATACCAATTTTGTATCAACAACTTTGCCACGTCACATATTTTTTTACATTATTAAATAAAGTGTTAAAATTTATCAGTATTTTTGTATCTTAATTCAATTCTACTTACAAAACTTTTTAAAATACAACAAGAAGAGAATTAATCCCTCCAAAAGAATGGGCTATAGCTGCAACTAATTTAAATTGAAAATAAAAAACAAAATCAAGAATGTCGAGAACTCGAATTATTCATCCAAACAAGAACCCGTTTCGTTCGACAAAATCTGAACAAGACGTCTCTCAAGCCTCTTAGCTCCCTCGCCCGGCTTCAGAACTTCAGCATCACCCCAAACGGAGCATATGTCCTCGCCGGAATCACCCAAGCACCACCCGCCGGGAACAGCTCCGGTGGGATTCCGGCGAAGGACCTCTTGGTCAATTCGGTCAAGAACGGGGTCGTTGGGTTGAAACGGGGAAGCAAAGGCTGCTCCGCTTTGGATGAGGTCATCGAAGTGGGAGGAGTTCAGAAAGTGTGGGCCCCGCTTATTTCTCGAGTCGAGAGAAGCGGAGTAGTGCAAGGAGTGGTTGATTGTGGTGCGGTTGAATTTACGGGAGTTGCATAAAACGGTTGGGAAGTAAACGGAAGTGGATGAAGGTGTGTTGGAGAGGTACATTAGCAGAGTCCTAGGTAGGTTGTCTGTACCTAGTATGCAAAACTCGATAAACTTGCGGCTCAATATAGCTGATGAGGAGCCTGTATGAAAAAAACATATGTCATGAAATTAATTAAAACCCGAAATTTACCATAAGATTGTAATGACATGATGCAATCATATATTCTTCGAATCCTCCGATTTTGTGAAGTCGGAGTTCATAATCATCGAAAATCTACTTAACAAATAGCAGGAAACTATTAAAATTGAATTTGACACCATAAAGAATAAACAAACACTAAACGGAAACATAAGCCCGTTGTGCTATCATTAATCAAGAAACGGACAAAACGTTAATTCATTAAACATTAACAAAAAATAGAGATTTTGTCAACTAAATACACCAAAAAAGAGCCGGATATATTTTTTCTTCCATGTCACTATCGAGCAATCACGCAGACAAAGATGAATGAAACAATATATTTAGTTTAATAAATTATAAAAATATTAATATTGCCAACTAAACACACACCAAAACAAATGTAGAAAAACACAGCCAAATATATTTTACGAGTCGCTATTAAGCCATCAAGTTGCTTGTTTAGCCAGACTCGACGTTAATAATAATAATCAGACAGCAACCGTAGAACAAGACAATTACAAACCATGACATAAATAACAATATAATGTATAGAGTAGCATAGTGCAGTTCCTTTTGTCTTCAATCATTATTTAAATTGCTAAAATGTAATAAGTATCTAGATTTGTCGACGGCAATTGAGTGCAAAAATTTGAACTGGAGGATATTTTTTTTGTCATTTGGAGCTATAAAGTTCTAATACGCAAAACTCGAGGTGGAACTAGTCGAAATAAATTTAAAATAATAACTCCCCACCATTAATTTTATTTAAAAAACAATTCACTAATGTTGTATTCGGAAAACAAATTTTGGAGGATTGGGTAGCATTGATCTTTCTTTGCGGTTTTAACTATTTTAAACACTACATTAAGCTAATTAAAACGGGCCTGCTAATTTGTTTGCCTTTATTACCCTTCTTTTATTTGACCAAAATAGGCCTCGGGTCAATTCCAGAGTTTCTCGAAGGAGCTCAACAAGAGTCCTATAATTTGCGTGCGGATAGAAAATTGAGAAGGTACCAGAATTTAAATGAAAATTTTCGAGCATTTGAATCACACCCTAAATATTGTTTTTACACACAAACAACACAAAATCCCGAAAGAAAAAATAAAGAGAGTACGAGAGTGACCTGTGAATAAACGGTAAGCATCGGGGAGTGGTCGTTTTTGAGTGGCAAAAAACATATCGGTGTTCTCTGCAAGGAAGAGTGCTGGATCAACTATTATCGGCTTCAATTTTCTTGATCTGAAAAACATAACAAAAAAATAAAACAATAATCAAAATGGTTGTATACAAGCGTACGGCTCTCACTCCTCTCATTATATCCACGTGTTTATATGATCCGGAAAAACGAGAAAAAAAAAAACCCGACTTACTCTCTCCAACCAATATAGCTTGTATGATTCACAAAATTAAGATCCTTAGGCAGATAAGACAGAATGTGCAAAAGATCTGGACAAATACAAAAACAAACAAACATAAAAGAAATTAAAAAATCATAAAGAAAATCGAGTAAAACGCTCTACGTACATTGATGTATAAGTAGACATCAAAACATAATTTGCTCAACACAATTTGAATCAAAATACTGTAACGCAAACGCAGACGAGCCCACAAATTACGTAAAGACAGCTACTACTGTTTCGACTGAGAAGTCGGTAATTAACTTGAAATATATATTCATCACCGATCATATACGTAAAAGTACATAAGCATGTAAATCAAATACAGATAATCGCACTAACACCGATTACATAAACGGATAAACCAATGGCAGAAGCAATTTCCTCAATGTAGCAAAATTAACAAGCTCAATTGAACCACATTAACATTGCACATAAAACCCTAATTATACACAAAAGGAGGAAAACACATAGTAAAAGGGGTACCATCTTGAGTGAGAAGGGGGTAATCGGCAGCGGAGAGATTAATGAACCAATCCCAATTAGGCGATAGGCGGAGCAAAACAGAGGCGCCGTGAAGTGTGGATGAGAGGGCAGACGGACCGTTGGAGAAGACGAAGTCGGCCTTGCCGATGACGTGGACATTCTGGGCGGCGCTGAAGAGGGGGACTGATTGGACGGTGACGGCCAATTCGTCACGGTGGGATTGGGTGGTGGAGCGGTCGAGGTGGAGGAGGTACTGGTTTCTGGGGTGGTAGACGGAGTGGAGGAGGCGGAGGATCCGACCCGAATCGTTGGCGGATCCGGAAATGAGGTAGGCTAGGGAAGGGGGGCGGGGTGGGGGGGAGGAGTCTCCGGGGGTGTTTTGGTTGTCGTGGAAGAGGAGGCGGTGGTGGTGGGGGAAGAGGGAGGGGTGGGGTTGAGATGGGGGCGGTGGTTGAGAGGGGGCGGTGGTGAGGGAGAGGACGAGGAGGAGGGAGAAGAGGGTGGTGCCCAGTAGGACCCACAGGGAGGGAATAGCGGCGGAGGTGGTGGTGGTGGTGGCGGCGGCGGAGGGTGGTTGGTGGTGGTGCATTGCCCTGATCTTCGCTTTAAGAAACGGGATTCTTCGATTCTTTGATTTTTATTTTTTTTCTCCTCTGTATGTGTGTGGTTGAAGGAGAATTGGTGGGCGGTGGCGGTGGCGGTGGCGGTGGTGGGGAAGTGGATTCCGATTCTTAGCTGTGTGGGTGTGTGAGCACGTCGTAGTGGAGTTGATCACAAGAAAACACAGTTTGAAAGTGTGAGTTTTAATTTGGAATCCGCTGCCGATTTGTT